ACACTAATTAGAAATGATATCCCTGTATGTTATGATTTTGCAAGTATTTATCCAATTGCAGTTTAAACATCTGTATGGACTCTGATAAAACCACCTCGTCAGGCAAATAATTCCATATCCTTATTGCTCTTACTGTAAAAAAAAACAACAACTTTTCTCTGCCTTAGATGAAATCTCCTTTCTTCCAGCCTAAATGTGTGACCTCGTGTCCTATGTATAGCCCTGTTTATGAGTAGATTTCCAGATAATGGTTTGTACTGGCCCCGAATATATTTGTATAATGTTATCATATCCCCTCTGAGGCGCCATTTTTCCAAACTAAAGAGATTTTTAATTTTTTAACCTTTCTTCGTAACTAAAATGCTCCATTCCTTTTATCAATTTTGTAGGTCGTCTCTGCACTTTTTCTAGTGCCATGATATCCTTCTTTAGAACAGGTGCCCAAAATTGCACAGCATATTCAAGGTGTGGTTTTATTAGCGATTTATAAAGAGGCGAAATTATATTTTTATCCCGAGAATTTATGCCCTTATTTATACATGACAAAACCTTACTGGCTTTAGCAACTGTCGATGACAAAACACAGCTGGGCGTTCGGCAGTCTAAGATGGCCGCCGCCACGTGTTCGTTCATACGAACGGCGACCACCCAGTATATATTTATTAACATTGTATACCTGGCAGGCCATGCCATGTGACTGTATGATATTATACACTGACTAGCCACAACATTAAAACCACCTGCATAATATTGTGTAGGTTCCCTCGCACTGCCAAAACAGCTCTAATGCGTCAGCCACTAAAACATTATCAGGACATCCTTTACATCTTGCAAGTTGCAAGGTGAGGCCTCCATGGATCAGGTATGTTTTTCCAGCACATCCCACAGTCAGGGCCGCCATCAGGGCATGACAACCGCAACGGTTGTCATGGGCCCGGCGGTCCTGGGGGGCCCGGACTGCTCAGGTCGTCCGGGCCCCACATTCAGTGGGTACATACCGGGTCGCAGGGGGCCCTGCGACCAGGATATGTACCCACAGGGCCAGCCTCTTCTCCTGGGGGGCCCAGGAGGCGGCCACGTCAGGGCCCCCCTAAGGCTGGCCCTGCTGACACCCGACGGGCCGGCGCGCGAGGGAGCACTCTCTGTGTGCTTCCTCTTCAGCTCCCTCGCGCACCGTACTGATGCCGGAGCCGGAAGATGACGTCATCTTCCAGCTCCGGCATCAGTACGCGGCGCGCGAGGGAGCTGAAGAGGAAGCACACAGAGAGTGCTCCCTCGCGCGCCAGCCTGCCCGCCCGCCACCAGTGTCAGGGGG